ACTATGACTTTTCAGATCACCCAGTAATGCTATCTGCAAGGTTAGTTCCAGGTAAATATTGCAATCCTTTAGCCATTCCTGGACCTGTGTCCAAAAACAAGCTACAAATGGACAGAACCAAAACAAATGATCTAATGATTCTGTCTCTTCACAGCAAAATCTGCAGAGCTGGGAAGATTGTATCCCCCATATAAATAACATTATATTGGTAGCAAGAATTTTATATAATAATTTAAATTGAAAGATTCTAATTTTTGAATCCGGTGTCGTTTTGCGTGTCAGTTCATAAACACTATGCCATGGGATCGGTACGTCAAAGATCTCTTCCCAACTATTTTGCAATCTATATGGGACGGCTGTCAATCCTTTGGTCCTTAAGTGAAACTGATATACTTTTTTATTTATCACAGTTTTCCTTAACCAATTATGTTCTTTAATGCAAGGCCGACAGACAAGTTCCTTACTTTCTCCCCCTTCCACTTTCCTCTTCCACTTTTGCGGTAAGGCTGCAATTATTTGGTTGTAATTTTGGGTAGAGCAGACATTTCCATATGTTTTTGTTAGCTGCATGTGCGACATAACTCCACCAGTCCTACCGATGATATCATTTACGAAGATTATACCTTTTTTAAACATTCTGTCAAAAAATATAGTTTTTTTGTCAATTAGTATATTTGAGTTTAACCACAATATTTGTTGCATTATTTGTTCTGTCGTTTCTGGAGGATTAAATACCTTGACTTTGTTGTCCTTAAGCCATTTTGCCACAACTTTGGAAGTATGCTTGGGGTCATTGTCCATTTGGAAGACCCATTTGCGACCAAGCTTTGACTTCCTGACTGATGTCTTGAGATGTTGTTTCAATATATCCACATAATCTTCCTTCCTCATGATGCCATCTATTTTGTGAAGTGCACCAGTCCCTCCTGCAGCAAAGCACCCCCACAGCATGATGCTGCCACCCCCGTGCTTCACGGTTGGGATGGTGTTCTTCGACTTGCAAGCGACCCCCTTTTTCCTCCAAACATAGCGATGGTTATTATGGCCAAACAGTTCTATTTTTGTTTCATCAGACCAGAGGACATTTCTCCAAAAAGTACGGTCTTCGTCCCCATGTGCAGTTGCAAACCGTAGTCTGGCTTTTTAATGGCGGTTTTGGAGCAGTGGCTTCTTCCTTGTTGAGCGGCCTTTCAGGTTATGTCGATATAGGACTCGTTTTACTGTGGATATAGATACTTTTGTACCTGTTTCCTCCAGCATCTACGTTAATCTCTAGGAGACAGAACGCGTCTCCTTCCTGAGCGGTATGACGGCTGCGTGGTCCCATGGTGTTTATACTTGGAAAAGGCGCTCTCTTGTGACAAAGTCAATTGGAGCCAACTCTTTATTACACACATCGATACATACAGCCTCCTCCGTACCCTCAACAGAAGGGTGGGGGGGGGAATAGTGGGCGCAGTCAAACCAGTCGCTGTGCCAGCATCCATTCTCTCCCCCTCGTCCCGTCATTGCCGTCGTCGCTTCTGGCTACCCTTCGGGTGATGCCAGGTCGACGCTCTGATGACCTCCCTTGCCGGCGGAATGGTCGGAACCTCAGGTGCCGCTGGGGGGGCGGAGCCCTCTCTCCTGCTGCTGCTCGGGGTCGCCGTCTGACGCCGGGCGCGACGCCTCGCAGTAGACCCAGATCTACTAGAGGCGGTGGAGGTGGACGGCTTCTGTGTCGCATGACTAGATCTCCCTGCCAGAGGCAGGTGTCTAGCGAGCTGCTTCCTCTCCTCGTCCAACTTCATGAAACGCTCCGACACATCCTTGACGGCGACCCTAAAAAGGCCATCGTCAGAGATGAGGGCGTTCAAGAGCGACGCTCTATCGGCCTCCTTCATGGCCGTCATGGACAGCCACAGGTGTCGTTCCGTGACCACCGAAGTGGCCATGGACCTCCCCGCACAGACAGCCGATGCTTGTGTCAGGTGGAGAATAGCGGCAGAAATTCTGGACGCCTCTTCCACCTCCTCTCTCGTGAGCTCAGTCTTACCCGTGGTTAAACGGGACAGAGAGGCCACGAGGAGGGCAATATTATTTGCTGCTGCTACAGCTTGGGCTCCCAACACGAAGGACTTCTCAACCAGTGAATCGGTCCTTCTGCGTAGGCAAGGTGGCTTTCTTGGATGAGGGCCAGGGACTCGAACCCGGCACGAGATACGCAGCCATGGCGCTCTCGAGCCTGGGGATTCCCTTAGAGAAGCCCTGCTGTCTCCCTTCCACTGTGGTGAATGTGAGGTACGCCTTGGCCGGCGAACGCGCCGCCAAGGGTGCCTCCCATGAGCCCTCAACGTACTTACTAAGAGATGGCATGGCTGGAGCTTCCCTTCCAATCTGGAGGGAATGGGAGGCAGCTTAATCTCAAGACGTTTGGCAGCCCTCTCAATGAGTCCCGGAAAATCCAAGCGCAGAGAGGCTGCGGCGTAAGACAGGGCTGCTGAACTCTCAGAGCCCGTGTCGTCATCGCCCAGGGATGAACATGACCTCTCGCTTTCCAAAGGAAAGGGGGTCTTGAATATTTGGGTCATTGAGACGGATTGTTCCAAAGGAATCTCCATCTCGTCCCCAATATCCCTGTCATCTCCTGAGTCAGCGCCCTCAGATGATGCCTCAGAAGCTGAGGCTAACACTGAGCACATCCTCCAGAGGAATATCCTCCCTGAAAAATGCCCATCGCTGCTTCCTCTCTTTCAAGGAAAGGAGGGCGCAGCTGGCGCATAGTGGGGGATTAATGAGGCGGTCCCTAGCGTGCTGTGACCCTAAGCACACAAAACATAAGTCGTGGGGGTCAGCAGTCGCCATGGCGGAACAGCGACATTGAGCTCTGAAAAGAGCTTTAGGGGGTCGAAAATCTCCAGGTGTGCTCATCTCGGACGACGTCGATGATCTGGAAAATCGACGGCGATATCTTCGTCCTGAGTCTTCGTCTCTTCTAGGCTTCTTCATATAGGAGCAGAGCTCCCCTATGGGGCGGAGCTCCACGATATAGAACCACAAGTGTCTGTCCTGTAATGAAAAGGCCCCCGCAAAATAAAATTCAAGGAACTTGTTTACCTATTTTGGTGTGCTGTTGTTACATTTGTATTGGCGTTTCAAGTCTGATGCGCTCAGGATGTTGTTAGGTGTCATTTGCGACGTGCATCATGAGCAAAGTCATTGGAACCTACCATTTCACATCCTCTGTGATAACCATGAGCAAGGGCTGATTTGGCTTTGCTGTACCACAGCCGAAGTCTGCCAGCAGCCTACCTACCAAAGGTGGCACCGTGTCCATTACAATGTAGAAAAACGCATGTCTCTAAACCTTTCAATAGTTATCCATATTACCGGAGCTTCATCTTATTACTATTTCTATGGAGGATTCGTGACCGCAATCTATGGAAAATGCCAAAACTTTGGAGATAATAGATGGCGAAGTCAAAGATACTGGTTTCCATCTGTGGTGAAGTTTTCCCTAAATCTTTATAACAAATCCAGCTCCAGAACCAGCCATAGCCTAGCCAGCTGACTAATCTTTTGAATACAGTGTAGTATTGTTTGTTTTTTACAACCGATAACATTAGCTGGCTAGATAAGGTTAGCAAGCTAACTAGATAGATAGATAAGGTTAGCATGCTAGTTAGCTACACTGACAGCTGTCAGTGCCCTATTTGTTGATGTTTCTCCACTCCGCGTTCCTTCGCGTTCCTTCCCACCCCCAATTCGTGAATATGTATAAGTATCATGTATAAGTCATTCTTCAGAGGTGGAACTTAATCGACCAAATAAACGAATAGGATTAAACTCTCCTCCATACCAGCAGCTATCAGCTTTCTCAATAAGCTCTAGTATTACTGGTAGTTGTGTACATATTGCTGTATATATTGTTTTGGTGTATATTTATTGTCATGTGTTCAATTAATGATTTATTTTTGAATGAATGAAATTTGATTTTTGTGTCAAATCGCCAATTGGCAACTCATCCCTAATGGGATTAATTGACACATAAACAAACATTACAATAATGTTCATGTGTTTTTACTACGTGCTGCAAAATGAATTGCCCCTTGGTGATAATAAAGACTACTCTACTCTACATTTCTGCTCTAGAACAGGAATTACGTCGAAATAGGGGTGGCATTGCCCTCTGGTGGCGTCCTTTAAAGCTGCAACAACAAAAAAATCTCTGTGCCCCATGACAAAATGTGTAGAATTGCAATCAAAATAGCTTGAAATATGCAAAATGTTATCTCCGACGCCAAGCCTTTAAAGTGTTCCTTCCCAGGGCCTGAGACTTGGTTCGTCCGGCCATGCACTGCCGATGTCAGAGTAAAACTCCTTGTATGCTATTTTTATCAAACTCGAGTTGTGTTCTGATTATGAGGGGGTCACTGATGAATTTGCGATCACAAAAGGGGACCCCAGCCCAAAAAAGTTTGAGGACACCTGCTCTACAACTTGCTTTAACACCTTATGATTCATAACAACAACAAAAAAAGGACCTAGCTAGCTAGCTAGCTACAACTCCATGTTTATGTTTTGGTTGTTCATAGGTAGGTTCATTTTTAAACACACGTGATTGTCACCAGCACTGTGTGTGGCGCACTAGCTGCTACACCCTACACTGCAATATCACTTGCATGTTAATGTAAGAGAGCTGTACACTCATGATATAATAATATATAATATAATATGCCATTTAGCAGACGCTTTTATCCAAAGCGACTTACAGTCATGCGTGCATACATTTTTGTGTATGGGTGGTCCCGGGGATCGAACCCACTACCTTGGCGTTACAAGCGCCGTGCTCTACCAGCTGAGCTACAGAGGACCACACGCCTGCAAAGGCATCAATTCCACAGTTATTGGAAGCCTTGAGCACAATGAAAAGAACATAGGACTCTCTGTACCAACAGAGCAATGTTTCATTGCTTGACACAGCCAAAGACCCTTTCAATTCTATTTCTGTCTTTCAGCAGGATGAGTGGAGCTGGAGGTGGAGAGCAGTCCCTGTTCTTTCTAATTCTCCCTGACCTGAGGAAGCTGTGCTGTGTCACCCTGTCCTTGCAGTCTGATGACGGAGAAGTGAGAAACAAGCAGGTGAAAACATGCAGGTGAGACAGCTGCTCAGAGTTTGCTTGGAGGTTGCTTGAATAAATACAGGTTCTTATTTTTTGATTGATGAATTAAAGGAGGCAAAGTTCAAAATGCCCAATCTCTTCTTAACCCAATGGTAATGTATTTATCTTTCTGTAAGAAACTCAGGTTGTTTTTGAATGAATTATGAAAACCTTTGAGGTGCAAAAAGGTTGCACAGTTCTTCTCTAGTTTAAAATCGACTTTTTACATTTTTATTAAAGTGCATTGTTGCTGTTCTCAGGTTAATAAGCAGACCAATTGAATTAACTTTCCTATATTCACTTTCAGGGAGCTGTTGTTATTGTATGCAGACATCATTGCCTCTCCGGTATTGGGGTGCTTCTCGGAGATCACAGTGGTGATGGCGGTAAGTCTGCACTCAAGTCCGTATTTAATAGTCCATGAAACATACTAATCTCCCGTGGGCAAATTCTGCGTGTAGACCGAGTGAATCTGCCAGGACTGAATGGGATGTGTGATATCCGAGCAACATTAGTTCCGGTTTTTAGGTTTTCATGTCTGGTTATTTGGACATATCAGGATTGGGTGAAGGTGGTGCTTTGGCTGTGAGTTTCCATTTGCGAGGGTGAAGACTTTGCCGGAACACTCAATTTCTAACACGTTTGAACACAGAAGTTAATCAGGCAGCTGACCAAATTACACAAAATTTTACTTCTGGTTAACGTTTGGCAAAATGTACTTGTGGCAACAAGCCAACACAATACTTTTTCTCCTGCAAATATTTTAGTAAGATGATGATACACTTTTTGAAACAATCAGTTGAAAATCATGCATTTATGAATTGTGTGAAATGTATTTTACTCAGTATTGTCAGTAGTTCCCCTGTATACTTTGTCTCATACACTTTCATTAGTATGATTACCAATGACTGCACTAAATCAGGTCATTGGAGCCTTTGATCTGGCTTGTTTACCAATTGTTGGAGGTTATGTAAGAGCACAGTGAGTAAAACACCACCTTCACATGCCATGTAACATGACACCAACAAGGTGTGCACGCAAGGGAGGCTTTGTCACGACTCTCCAATCATAGGAAATTGTTTGTTTTTCTTAGAGGGAGATATATGGGTTGTGTTCATTAGGCACCAAATGGAAGCCAATGGACTGAAACGGGAAAGGACTTCCTGGACTTGTCAAATAACAAACGCTCATTGTCGATTTCAGTTGCAAAAAGTTTGAAGGCAGTTTCCGTTGCATGCCCTAATGAACACAACCCTGGATTTTCTATGGATTTTGAGGAGGGATTTACCCCGTTTCACATTGCACGATTACACAATTGGCTTCTCTCTCTAATCTATCATTGTAACTCAATTAAATTGTAGTGTTTAATAATCTTATATGGAATGGGTAGCATAATGCGACATAAACGGGTACTCTTTCATTTATTAATTCATCCACTGAAATACTGTCTCTGGTTTAAATGGATGATGTAAAGAGGTTAATAGTGCGTGAGAAAATGAGAAATGTGTGTGCGTGTGATGTGTGAGTGAGTGTAACTTATGTGTCTGCGTGCCTGCACGTCTCCTGCAGAGGCATGTTGCATGCAACCCAAAATGGTTGGTCTGCAATCCAAACACTGTCATTTTTTTCACCCCTTCTGGATTGTAGCCAAAATAATAGAAAAACTAAAAACAATATTATAATTGTCCAAATGTAGTATCATTTTAAGCTGCGTATAATGGTTTGAGCTGCTTTACAAAAACATAGAAACAACAGGTTCTCCATATTTTAATCTTAATTTCAAACAAAAACAATGAATGGTTTTCTATTTGTGAAACACCAATAACTTCCTAACTGGAAAATCTGCATGATTAACCCCTGCATGTAAACATGTAATCTACATTGTGCATCTGCTCCAGCACTCCATTTGCTTTCACTAGTGCTCCACACACAGTTCTGGTGAATCATTGACTGTGTTGCAGTTGTTTAACAATCTTCCCTTTAACCGAGTGTGTCAGCAGAAGACTCAATGATCCCTTGTTTGACCAAATAATTGTTTGTTTCATATTATTGAATTCAAACTTTTCCCCCTAACAGATTCCCTTTTTTAAGAGAGGAATAGTACAAGCTTATGTACAACGACACAGTCTGCAGGTAAGCTTGGGCTGGCCTAGTTGTCATTCACTCTCACTCATTACTTCTGCAATTTTGACCAAGTTTAGAAACCAATTCAGATAAATGTTTTATGAGTATGTTAGTTTTACATTCATTATCCACATCCACGTTTTAAATATAATTGTATGTCAAACAGTTGTTTTTCATGAAATGTGAGATATTTTGTTCTTACTGCTGTTATTTTCTACTTGTGAGGTCTTGCCCGGCTTTTCCTGTGACCCCTTAAATGCTCACTTCAGTAATTGGTCCCCTGGTTGAGAATCACTGATATAGAATGCAGTATCATAGACAGGTGGATGATGTCTAGTCAGTTAAGTTACATGTAGTTTCTCTGTGTTGTGTTTGGGCAGATGGGCTCTCCTCAGAGGGTTCTCCCTGGTATTCTGCAGACCTGTCTGTCCTACTCCTTGACCAGCAGGCTGGCTCCAAACTGGAACAAAGTCGGACAGTTCCTTATTGCTGGTTTGTACTAGTACTGTATATAGGAATATGGAATTAATATAATGGCACTGTTTTATGTTAGTAATATTGTTATTGGCTAGTTATTATGATATACAGTAGTTAGCCTACCACCTGTCTGTTTTATCTAGGAGAGGAGATCGATGAGGCCTTCTTTCTAAATTGTATTGTTTTGAACTCATCCATCATGGCTGCCGGAATTTCCCTAATCCATGGTATTTTCCATTGCCCTTTTTATGGCTCATCATCAAATTAAAGCGTTTGTCATTTACAAAGTAAGAAAAGCGGATAGTTAATAGACTGTTACAGGTCCCATTCTCTTGGGCCTGATAACATTGAATTATTTCCGAACAGGGGCCCTTTCCCTGTCTTTCCTGGAATTCTGTTTCTAGTTGGAAGTGATTTCGCTAGACGGTTGCAAAGGTCACTGTTTAATCGCAGTCCTGTTGAGAAGGCATATCTATAATCGCAGTGACTCTGCAAATATGTTACGCCACCCTCCATTACCTTCACCTTGGGCCTATTTTATATGACATTGAGTATTTGATTCACACACACACGCACACATACAGTACCACTCAAAAGTTTGGACACACCTACTCATTCAAGGGTTTTTCTTAATTGTTACTATTATTGTAGAATAATAGTGAATACATCAAAACAATGAAATAACACATATGGAATCATGTACAGTGAGGGAAAAAAGTATTTGATCCCCTGCTGATTTTGTACGTTTGCCCACTGACAAATAAATTATCAGTCTATAATTTTAATGGTAGGTTTATTTGAACAGTGAGAGACAGAATAACAACTAAAAAATCCGGAGAAACGCATGTCAATGAGGGAAATAAGTATTTGACCCCCTCTCAATCAGAAAGATTTCTGGCTCCCAGGTGTCTTTTATACAGGTAACGAGCTGAGATTAGGAGCACACTCTTAAAGGGAGTGCTCCTAATCTCAGCTTGTTACCTGTATAAAGGACACCTGTCCACAGAAGCAATCAATCAATCAGATTCCAAACTCTCCACCATGGCCAAGACCAAAGAGGATGTCAGGGACAAGATTGTAGACCTACACAAGGCTGGAATGGGCTACAAGACCATCGTCAAGCAGCTTGGTGAGAAGGTGACAACAGTTGGTGCGATTATTTTGCAAATGGACAAAACACAAAAGAACTGTCAATCTCCCACGGCCTGGGGCTCCATGCAAGATCTCACCTCGTGGAGTTGCAATGATCATGAGAACGGTGAGGAATCAGCCCAGAACTACACGGGAGGATCTTATCAATGATCTCAAGGCAGCTGGGACCATAGTCACCAAGAAAACAATTGGTAACACACTACGCCGTGAAGGACTGAAATCTTGCAGCGCCCGCAAGGTCCCCCTGCTCAAGAAAGCACATATACAGGCCCGTCTGAAGTTTGCCAATGAACATCTGAATGATTCAGAGGATAACTGGGTGAAAGTGTTGTGGTCAGATGAGACCAAAATGGAGCTCTTTGGCATCAACTCAACTCGCCGTGTTTGGAGGAGGAGGAATGCTGCCTATGACCCCAAGAACACCATCCCCACCGTCAAACATGGAGGTGGAAACATTATGCTTTGGGGATGTTTTTCTGCTAAGGGGACAGGACAACTTCACCGGATCAAAGGGACGATGGACGGGGCCATGTACCGTCAAATCTTTGGTGAGAACCTCCTTCCCTCAGCCAGGGCATTGAAAATGGGTCGTGGATGGGTATTCCAGCATGACAATGACCCAAAACACACGGCCAAGGCAACAAAGGAGTGGCTCAAGAAGAGGCAAATTAAGGTCCTGGAGTGGCCTAGCCAGTCTCCAGACCTTAATCCCATAGAACATCTGTGGAGGGTGCTGAAGGTTCGAGTTGCCAAACGTCAGCCTCGAAACCTTAATGACTTGGAGAAGATCTGCTGAGATGTGTGCAAACCTGGTGGCCAACTACAAGAAACGTCTGACCTCTGTGGTTGCCAACAAGGGTTTTGCCACCAAGTACTAAGTCATGTTTTGCAGAGGGGTCAAATACTTATTTCCCTCATTAAAATGCAAATACATTTATAACATTTTTGACATGCGTTTTTCTGAATGTTGTTGTTGTTATTCTGTCTCTCACTGTTCAAATAAACCTACCATTAAAATTATAGACTGATCATGTCTTTGTCAATGGGCAAACGTACAAAATCAGCAGGGGATCAAATACTTTTTTTTCCTCACTGTAGTAACCAAAAAAGCGTTAAACAAATCAAAATATATTTTATATTTGGGATTCTTCAAATAGCCACCCTTTGCCTTAATGACAGCTTTGCACACTCTTGGCATTCTCTCAACCAGCTTCACCGGGAATGCTTTTCCAACATTCTTGAAGGAGTTCCCACATATGCTAAGCACTTGTTGGCTGCTTTTCCTTCACTCTGCCGTCCGACTCATCTCAAACCATCTCAGTTGGGTTGAGGTCGGGGGATTGTGGAGGCCAGGTCATCTGATGCAGTACTCCGTCACTCTTCTTGGTAAAATAGCCCTTATACAGCCTGGAGGTGTGTTGGGTCATTGTCCTGTTGAAAAACAAATGATAGTCCCACTAAGCCCAAACCAGATGGGATGGTGTATCGCTGCAGAATGCTGTGGTAGCCATGCTGGTTAAGTGTGCCTTGAATTCGAAATAAATCACAGACAGTGTCACCAGCAAAGCACCCCCACACCATAACACCTCCTCCTCCATGCTTTACGGTGGGAAATACACATGCGGAGATCATCCGTTCACCCACACTGCGTCTCACAAAGACACGGCGGTTGGAACCAAAAATCTCAAATTTGGACTCCAGACCAAAGGACAAATTTCCACTAGTCTAACGTCCATTGGTCGTGTTTCTTGGCCCAAGCAGGTCACTTCTTCTTATTGGTGTCCTTTAGTAGTGGTTTCTTTGCAGCAATTCGACCATGAAGGCCTGATTCACACAGTCCCCTCTGAACAGTTGATATTGATATGTGTCTGTTACTTGAACTCTGTGAAGCATATATTTGGGCTGCAATTTCTGAGGCTGGTAACTCTAATGAACTTATCCTCTGCAGCAGAGGTAATTCTGGGTCTTCCTTTCCTATGGCGGTCCTCATGAGAGCCAGTTTCATCATAGCGCTTGATGGTTTTTGCAACTGCACTTGAAGAAACTTTCAAAGTTCTTGAAATGTTCCGTATTGACTGACCTTCATGTCTTAAAGTAATGATGGACTGTCGTTTCTCTTTGCTTATTTGAGCTGTTCTTGACATAATATGGACTTGGTCTTTAACCAAATAGGGCTATCTTCTGTATACCCCCCACTACCTTGTCACAACACAACTGATTGGCTCAAACGCATTAAGAGGGAAATAATTTCCACAAATGAACTTTTAAGAAGGCACACCTGTTAATTGAAATGCATTCCAGGTGATTACCTCATGAAGCTGTTTGAGAGAATGCCAAGAGTGTGCAAAGCTGTCATCAAGGCAAAGGGTGGCTATTTGAAGAATCTCAAATATAAAATATATTTTGATTTGTTTAACGCTTTTTTGGTTACAACATGATTCCATATGTGTTATTTCATAGTTTTGATGTCTTCACTATTATTCTACAATGTAGAAAATAGTAAAAATAAAGAAAAACCCTTGAATGAGTAGATGGATGGGATCCATGAACAGCCTGTCTGGCACTTATTTAGATTACGACTATGAGAACAGTGCTGCTTAGACAACTACAGTAATGTTATCGTTAATGCTGCATCATTACTGCCGTTGCATCTCTCACAAGCCCCCCAGCCCCCATAATCTATAAATAAATTAAGTTGATTTTTTTATAACACCATCTCAAGAGCCTGGCCAAGAGGAGAGAAAATGTATCTGATGTCCTCCAAATCCTTTATGTTTTACATGAGCGTGTCCAGGTCTTATGATAGCAGACCGGGCAAAGGACAGACTGTCCTTCGACTTGGAGTTCGTTCCGTGCTAAACGTGACCTTCCTTGCCAACTGTATTCTTTTTTATCTAGTCCTTCATGGCTGCCAGAATGACACACACGTACACACACACGTATGCATGCGCGCACATACACACACACACAGAGAGAGAGACACACACGTCTCACACGCACGCGCACACACACACGAACACACACACAGAGAGAGAGACACACACTGATCAATAGATGACTAGTACTAATCCAACTATATTGTACTGCAACAACACTACTCTATGTTTGATGACTTAACCATGTCTGTTGATCTTGTTCACTTTCTAGGGAGGGATTTTCTGGCTGATTCGGGGAAGCTCAATGCCATTGGTAGGTGTTTGAGTGTGAATGATCACCTGTTACACTTTCAGTATCCTTTACAACATTGGTTTAGAAATTATTTGAGCTATTTATGCTATTTCTCACAACCTTTAACCTTTAGCTCTCGAACCACAGTGGTATACGCAGAGCCATATATAGAGATATAGAGGTCACTATACTATATATGGCTCTGGGTTTAAGGTTTCCTATAGTGGAAAGGCTATAATAACAATTCTAGTTGCTATAACCAAATGCATTAGGCTTAATTCTGAGTTATTGTTAATTGCTCAGTAAATGACAAATCTTAGGACATACAGTGGGGAGAACAAGTATTTGAAACACTGCCGATTTTGCAGGTTTTCCTACTTACAAAGCATGTAGAGGTCTGTAATTTTTATAATAGGTACACTTCAACTGTGAGAGACGGAATCTAAAACAAAAATCCAGAAAATCACATTGTATGATTTTTAAGTAATTAATTTGCATTTTATTGCATGATATAAGTATTTGATCACCTACCAACCAGTAAGAATTCCGGCTCTCACAGACCTGTTAGTTTTTCTTTAAGAAGCCCTCCTGTTCTCCACTCATTACCTGTATTAACTGCACTTGTTTGAACTCGTTACCTGTATAAAAGACACCTGTCCACACACTCAATCAAACAGACTCCAACATCTCCACAATGGCCAAGACCATAGAGCTGTGTAAGGACATTTACATTACATTTACGTCATTTAGCAGACGCTCTTATCCAGAGCGACTTACAAATTGGTGCATTTACCTTATAGCCATTGGGATAACCAATTGACAATATTTTCTTCTTTTTTTTATAAATATTTTTAATTTTGTGCTAATCTTTTTTTTTAATATTTATTTTGTTCTTTTTTTTTTTTTTCTATATATATTTTTTTTTTCTTTTAATTTTCTTTTTTTTATTTATTTATTTATTTTTTGGGGGGGGGGGGGTGTAGAAGGATTACTTTATCCTATCCCAGGTATTCCTTAAAGAGGTGGGGTTTCAAATGTCTCCGGAAGGTGGTGAGTGACTCCGCTGTCCTGGCGTCGTGAGGGAGCTTGTTCCACCATTGGGGTGCCAGAGCAGCGAACAAGGACATCAGGGATAAAATTGTAGACCTGCACAAGGCTGGGATGGGCTACAGGACAATAGGCAAGCAGCTTGGTGAGAAGGCAACAACTGTTGGCGCAATTATTACAAAATGGAAGAAGTTCAAGATGACGAGGGGCTCCATGCAAGATCTCACCTCGTGGGGCATCAATGATCATGAGGAAGGTGAGGGATCAGCCCAGAACTACACGGCAGGACCTGGTCAATGACCTGAAGAGAGCTGGGACCACAGTCTCAAAGAAAACCATTAGTAACACACTACGCCGTCATGGATTAAAATCCTGCAGCACTCGCAAGGTCCCCCTGCTCAAGCCAGCGCATGTCCAGGCCCGTCTGAAGTTTGCCAATGACCATCTGGATGATCCAGAGGAGGAATGGGAGAAGGTCATGTGGTCTGATGAGACAAAAATATAACTTTTTGGTCTAAACTCCACTCGCCGTGTTTGGAGGAAGAAGAATGATGAGTACAACCCCAAGAACACCATCCCAACCGTGAAGCATGGAGGTGGAAACATCATTCTTTGGGGATGCTTTTCTGCAAAGGGGACAAGAGGACTGCACCGTATTGAGGGGAGGATGGATGGGGCCATGTATCGCGAGATCTTGGCCAACAACCTCCTTCCCTCAGTAAGAGCATTGAAGATGGGTCATGGCTGGGTCTTCCAGCATGACAACGACCCAAAACACACAGCCAGGGCAACTAAGGAGTGGCTCCGTAAGAAGCATCTCAAGGTCCTGGAGTGGCCTAGCCAGTCTCCAGACCTGAACCCAATAGAACATCTTTGGAGGGAGCTGAAAGTCCGTATTGCCCAGTGACAGCCCCGAAACCTGAAGGATCTGGAGAAGGTCTGTATGGAGGAGTGGGCCAAAATCCCTGCTGCAGTGTGTGCAAACCTGGTCAAGACCTACAGGAAACGTATGATCTCTGTAATTGCAAACAAAGGTTTCTGTACCAAATATTAAGTTTTGCTTTTCTGATGTATCAAATACTTATGTCATGCAATAAAATGCAAATTAATTACTTAAAAATCATACAATGTGATTTTCTGGATTTTTGTTTTAGATTCCGTCTCTCACAGTTGAAGTGTACCTATGATAAAAATTACAGACCTCTACATGCTTTGTAAGTTGGAAAACCTGCAAAATCGGCAGTGTATCAAATACTTGTTCTCCCCACTGTAGTCAATTTAAATAGTCCTCACCATGTATCACCAGTTTTTGGTCATTGTGAGTGGTTAGCATCTGTTGTTGTAGCCTCTGTAACTTTTATACTCATCATTATTCATGATTTCTCTCAAATGTTGTGCACAGATTTGTTTACATCCCTGTTTGTGAGCATTTCTCTTTTGCCAAGATAATCCATTGACCTGACAGGTGTGGCATATCAAGAAGCTGATTAAACAGCATGATCATTACACAGGTGCACCTTGTGCTGGGGACAATAAAAGGCCACTCTAAAATGTGCAGTTTTGACACACAAGACAATGCCACAGATGTCTCAAGTTTTGAGGGCGCGTGCAATTAGCATGCTGACTGCAGGAATGTCAACCAGAGCTATTGTCAGATAATTTAATGTTCTGAAACAAAGTTGAAAATGTCCCAGTTCTTCCATGGCCTGCATACTCACCAGACATGTCACCCATTGAGCATGTTTGGGATGCTCTGGATTGACGTGTACGACAGCTTGTTCCAGTTCCCGCCAATATCCAGCAACTTCGCACAGCCATTAAAGAGGAGTGGGACAACATGTGTCGCGCTGCATGAGGCAAATGGTGGTCACACCAGATACTGACTGGGTGTCTGATCCACACCTCTACCTTTTTTTTAAGGTATCTGTGACCAAGTCATGTGAAATCCATAGATTAGGGCCTAATTTATTTATTTAAATTGACTGATTTCCTTATATGAACTGTAATTCAGTAAAATCTTTGAATTGTTATATGTTGCATTTATATTTTTGTTCAATATACTTAGTAAGACTACTTAGTCTACTAATTTCAGACTACTTCAATACACTATAAGTCAATTTGTCCAAATACTTGGGGGACTAGATATATAAAGCACTTTTATGTCTAAATGGTCAAACAGATATTTAATACAATTTCCCTTAAATAAAAGGTGACATTCTGTACTATCTTGTCACTTCCTGATGGGCCGCCCCCAGGTGTTAAGGGTAGGCAACAACACGTCTGCCACGCTGATCCTCAACACTGGGGCCCCTCAGGGGTGCGTGCTTAGTCCCCTCCTGTACTCCCTGTTCACCCACGACTGCGTGGCCAAGTACGACTCCAACACCATCATTACATTTGCTGACGACACAACAGTGGTAGGCCTGATCACCGACAACAGTGAGACAGCCTATAGGGAGGAGGTCAGAGACCTGGCAGTGTGGTGCCAGGATAACAACCTCTCCCTCAATGTGAGCAAGACAAAGGAGCTGATCGTGGACTACAGGAAAAGGAGGGCCGAACAGGCCCCCATTAACATCGACGCGACTGTAGTGGAGCGGGTCGAGAGTATCAAGTTCCTTTGTGTCCACATCACCAACAAACTATCATGGTCCAAACACACCAAACAGTGGTGGAGAGGGCACGACAACACCTTTTCCCCCTCAGGAGACTGAAAAGATTTAGCACGGGTCCCCAGATCCTCAAAAGGTTATACAGCTGCACCATCGAGAGCATCCTGACCGGTTGCATCATCGCCTGGTATGGCAACTGTTCGGCATCCGACCGTAAGGCGCTACAGAGGGTAGTGCGTACGGCCCAGTACATCACTGGGGCCAAACTTCCTGCAATCCAGGACCTATATACTAGGCGGTGTCAGAGAAAGGCCCAGAAAATGGTCAAAGACTCCAGTCACCCAAGCCATAGACTGTTCTCTCTGCTACCGCACGGCAAGCAGTACCGGAGCGCCAAGCCTAGGTCCAAAAGGCTCCTTAACAGCTTCTACCCCCAAGCCATAAGACTGCTGAACAATTAATCAAATGGCCACCTGGACTATTTACATTGACACCCCCCTTTTGTTTTTACACTGCTGCTACTCGCTGTTTATTATCTATGCATAGTCACTTTACCCCTACCTACATGTACAAATTACCTCGACTAACCTGTACCCCCGCACATTGACTCTGTACAGGTACCCCCTGTATATAGCCTCGTTATTGTTATTTTATTGTGTTACTTTTTATTTTTATTTTTACTTTAGTTTATTAAGTAAATATTTTCTTAACTTTATTTATTGAACTGCATTGTTGGTTAAGGGCTTGTAAGTCAGCATTTCATGGTAAGGTCTACACCTGTTGTATTCGGCGCATGTGACAAATACAATTTGAATTGATTTGATCTCAAATTCAAATTGCTGGGCTGTAGCTTTAATGTCCAAATACATATGGTGAGGACTGTACAGGACTGTACTGTACATATAAACTTCCACCTGACATTGACATGGCATGACTAAGTGAAAAATCAACTTGAGTAGAAAGATGTTAGTATTCACCCCTGTACAGATGTATTTGACGGAATTATATAGAATTTTTTTTAGGGGTATTTAGGCCACTTTAAAATGAAGTGTTACCAGCCTCTAATCCAACAGAATGACAAGGTTCAATGTTTCCATTGCCAGTGATGGAGCTGAGTGCCAATGAGAGCCAGCTGTGTGTCAGTGTGGAGGCCAACACTGTCCGACTCCCTCCAACCAGGGTGAGCCCAGCAGCCAGTCAAAACACCCCTACGTACTCACTCACTCACTCACACACACGCACACGTACGCACGCACACACACACACACACACACACACACACACACACACACACACACACACACACACACACACACACACACAATGCTGTAAAAATAAAAGCAGTGGTCTCACTGTCTGATCTTCCATAGAACACTGCTAAAACAGTACGTTAGAAGAACCAAACCTAACAAGGGCCTATTCACTGGCAATTCTCCCCCAACACAATGTATTGTACCATGCATCACACTGCCAGACAGACAATAACAAACTACACACCTTCATCAAGTATTTTTACCTTAACCATTCATCAGGTTGTCATTATAATCATTTGTTCTCAGAGCCTTCTATTTAAATTCTCATTAGTTATCTCTAGTTGTACTCAGTAACATGTATTTTTTAAGGATTTTATGGTTGACTTTTAGTTGGCGGACTTTGACATCCCTCCCATGGTCCTGAGGAACTTCCATAGCCAGCCAGATGCTGTTATCCAGACCTTCTCAATGTCCAGCAACTGGTGTTACATTCTGCCAAGGTCAGCACTTTGACATGTTTTATTTTCCTTTTAAAGGTAGACTCAGCAATTTCACAGCAGTCACGTCATCACATTTTGGTCGACGCTTTTATCCACAGCGACTTACAGTAGAGTGCATACATTTTCATACTTTTTTCATACTGGTCCCCTGTGGGAATCGAACCCACAACCCTAGCGTTGCAAGCACCATGCAGATTATTTCAGTATTCATAATAACAAGTGTTACGAGCACACAGGCAGCGGTTTGTACACACGTACGTGCACACAGGCAGGAATTTGAAAAAAAAGACACTGTAAACCAGTGGAGGATGGTGGGAGGAGCTATAGGAGGACAGGATCATTGTAATGGCTGGAATGGAATAAATGGAGAAAAAGAACATTGCGATGACAGGTTGGATTGAATTGTTGATATGCCAGAGAACTTGAATTCTTATGTATGAACAGAGAATAACATAAAACATAAGAACATCAAAATCAGGGTTGGGCTCAATTCCATTTCAATTCAGTCAATTCAGGAAGTGAACATACATTTAGCAATTTCAGTTTACCTCCTGAATTTACTGAATTAAAATGGAATTGAGCCCAAACCTGAATAAAATAGAAGGTATAGGTTTAGGATATTAATTTGAGGTTTAAAAAGGCTTCTAAAGTTTGTAATTTCCACTTTGAAATGTCAGACTTGATTTTCCCTTACGATAAATGTATCAACACCAACAAAAATGTCCATGAATTATAATCACATAATAATTCAAATGTCCTGTTGCTGCAGGATAATTTTCCTGCTGTAGCAAACTGGCTCAAATTAAGATTTGACAAATTAAGATCCAAATTAAGATCCGACATCTGTACAACCTGTCAATATTGTATGTCTTCACTGATATGCTATAGGTACACTTGATATATAGCTTCCGTCTGTGTTGTGTGTAGCATGAAAAGGGGTCAGATTGTCAGCATCAGTCACCGGATGCCCGCCGAGAGCCCCTTCCAGTGCTACGCTGACATCCAGAATCACTGGAGCAGTCTGGTAGGTTACAGCCTGGTCCCACATCTGTTTGTGCTGTCATGCCAACTGCTATGGTCACTGTCATGACAATGGCTATAGGAGTTGGCAAGACAGCACAAACCGATCTGAGACCAGGCTAGGTAAGTTACACTTCACATTAACTACCCTTCATAAGGGCTGCATAAAGCTGCCATGAAAGAGACATCTCTACGAGTCATAACTACGAGTTTTTCCTGACCACGTTACCTGACTAGGAAAAGCTCTGTGCCCTAGTTAAAGGTTGTGATTCCAGGTTGGGTCAAGCTGACTGTAGTGAACCATGTGTCACTGTAAAATCAGACTTATTCACTAATAGGTCACCTAATTGGCTAGGCTTCAAGTTCTTTGGTGTCCACATCACCAACAAACTATCATGGTCCAAACACACCAAGACATTCGTGAAGAGGGCACGACAAAGCCTATTCCCCCTCAGGAGACTGAGAAAATGTGGCATGGGTCCTCAGATCCTCAAAAAGTTATACAGCTGCACAATCGAGAGCATCCTGACTGGTTGCATCACCGCCTGGTATAGCAACTGCTCGGCCTCCGACCGCAAGGCACTACAGAGGGTAGTGCGTACGGCCCAGTACATCACTGGGGCCAAGCTTCCTGCCATCCAGGACCTCTATACCAGGCGGTGTCAGAGGAAGGCCCTACAAATTATCAAAGACTCCAGCCACCCTAGTCATAGACTGTTCTCCCTGCTACCGCACGGCAAGCGGTACCGGAGCGCCAAGTCTAGGTCCAAAAGGCTTCTACACTCAAGCCATAAGACTCCTGAACAGCTAATCATGGCTACCCGGACTATTTGCAAACTTGACGGTGGTCTGTCAACATCTGTCAGCAACTAAACATGGACTTGGCCTGGCGGAGTGTGTGTGCTTGAGTGTGCCTGTATGCGTGTGAGTGTGTGTGGACTTGGCCTGTCAGAATAACGGTATGACTCACTAACGTTGGCTGGAAACAAACCAGCAGATTTCACACCCACGCTGCCTAACAGTTTACTCCACCATCATGTTGTTGTTTAAAAAAAATAAATATATATATATATATATATATATATATATATATATATATATATATATATATTTAATTTTTTTGAGGGTAGATCAGCTTAATATTGCAGATAGATTGTAACTTCCATCAATGTAATTGTCTGCATCACTTCCAATCCCCCATGTTTTATATATATATATATATATATATATATATATATATATATATATATATATATATATATATATATATATATGTATACATACATATACATACATACACATACACATACATATACACATACATATATATATATATATATATATATATACACATATACATACACATATACACACACATACATACATACATACATACATACACATACATATCCTTTAAAAATATATATATATATATATTCCCCTTTATTACTTTCCAACCACGCCACCCTTTCCCTACTTGGAGTAAACTAGTGAACAACAATGCTTAGGCCTCTACTTCCAGCTTATACTTACTATCTACATTTTATGGACACAGTCAATTTTACAATAATTATATTTTGTTTGTTTTTTCTCCTGAACTTCTACTCTCAACCTCTCCGATCATTTTCATGATGTCCATCCGGTTTGCTTCTATATGCCATATCTTTCTAACTGTGCTCTTTCACAAAAGCTCTCAACCTACAACCCATACACTTATTATGGACACAGCGTGCCTACATTATTAGTTTTCTTGTTATTGTTTGTTGTTAGTTGTTATTAGTCCCATCCTTCAATTCCATTCAACACCTCCCATCTATTTTTTAACACCATCTATATAGGATTTCTATTTGCCATATATGGTCCTCTGTAGCTCAGCTGGTAGAGCACGGCGCTTGTAACGCCAAGGTAGTGGGTTCGATCCCCGGGACCACCCATACACAAAAATGTATGCACGCATGACTGTAAGTCGCTTTGAATAAAAGCGTCTGCTAAATGGCATATTATTATTATTTATATTATTATTATTATTTATATATATTTCAACTGTACTGTGATGTCTTACAAAAGTTCTGAACCTTCCTATTCTCATTGTTTCTACAGATTGTGAATTGAAAATAAACATTTTTGCTAAAAGTATTATTATTGTCACGATCGTTAGACGGAGTAGACCAAGGCGCAGCGTGATGAACGAACATGTTTATTTATCGTTAGTGATAATACAAACAATAACCGAAACAACAAACGATACGTGCAGTCCTACGGTACAGACCAAAAGGAACAAACCAACTGGAACAAGATCCCACAACTATTGTGGGAAATCAGCCTCTATAAATATGGCTCCCAATCAGAGACAACCAGCAACAGCTGACACTCGTTGCCTCTGATTGGGAACCACTCTGGCCAACACAGAAATACAACACATAGAATATACACACCCTGGCTCAACATATAGAGTCCCCAGAGCCAGGGTGTGACAGTACCCCCCCCTAAAGGCGCGGACTGCGACCGCGCCTAAACATAAACAAACCAGGGGAGGGCTGGGTGGGCATTCCTCCTCGGAGGCGGTTCCGGCTCCGGGCTCGCCCACCACCCTCCAATAATCCCCCCGTAGCGCCCCTGATCCGGTCCCGCTGGCTGGAGCTGGACTGGACATCGTAGGAGCGGATTGCTTAAGCTCCGGTGTGGAGCAGCTGACCGGTACCTGACCAGGCACCGGTGACCCATGCACGGCTTGTGCCGGACTGACGACGTGCACCCCTGGCTTGGTGCGTGGAGCAGGAACGGGCCGGACCGGCCTGACGATGCGCACCCCTGGCTTGGTGCGTGGAGCAGCAACGGGCCGGACCGGGCTGACGATGCGCACCCCTGGCTTGGTGCGTGGAGCAGGAACGGGCCGGACCGGGCTGACGATGCGCACCCCTGGCTTGGTGCGTGGAGCAGGAACGGGCCGGACCGGGCTGTCGATGCGCACCCCTGGCTTGGTGCGTGGAGCAGGAACGGGCCGGACCGGGCTGACGACTCGCACCCCTGGCTTGGTGCGTGGAGCAGGAACGGGCCGGACCGGGCTGACGATGCGCACCCCTGGCTTGGTGCGTGGAGAAGGAACGGGCCGGACCGGGCTGGCGACGCACACCGTAGGCTTGGTGTGAGTGGCAGGAACAGGCCGGGCCGGGCTGGCGACGCACACCGTAGGCTTGCTGCGAGGAGCAGGAACAGGCCGGACCGGGCTGGCGACGCACACCGTAGGCTTGGTGCGAAGGGCAGGAACAGGCCGGGCCGGGCTGGCGACGCACACCGTAGGCTTGTTGCGAGGAGCAGGAACAGGCCGGGCCGGGCTGGCGACGCACACCGTAGGCTTGGTGCGAGGAGCAGGAACAGGCCGGGCCGGGCTGGCGACGCACACCGTAGGCTTAGTGCGAGGAGCAGGAACAGGCCGGGCCGGGCTGGCGACGCACACCGTAGGCTTGGTGCGAGGAACAGGAACAGGCCGGACCGTACTGGGAACACACACCACTGGCCTTAAACGGGGATCAGGAACGGGCCGGACCGGACTGGCAATACACCGCAGTACCTCTCGCCGTGCCTCTACAACTTCCTTCCCTCCTCTCACCAATGGCTCCCGTAACCCGGTGGCCTTCTCTCCTCGTCTCCCATCTCGCCCTGTGGCAGCCTCCTGCTGCCCAGTCGCCCATGCCGTGTGCCCCCCCCTAAAAAATGTCTGGGGTTGCCTCTCGTCCGTCCGACAACGACACTGTTGACGCCGTTGCTCCTCTCTCGCCAGGGCCTTAATCTTAGCCCATGGCCCCTTGCCCCCGAGCATGTCCTCCCAGGACCACGATTTGCCCACCTGGGCCATCGCCAACCTTTCCAGCTCCTTTCCCGGCGCTTCCACCCATGTCCAGGCCGCCTGCTCCTGGACACGCTGCTTGGTCCTGGTATGGTGGGATCTTCTGTCACGATCGTTAGACGGAGTAGACCAAGGCGCAGCGTGATGAACGAACATGTTTATTTATCGTTAGTGATAAAACAAACAATAACCGAAACAACAAACGATACGTGCAGTCCTACGGTACAGACCAAAAGGAACAAACCAACTGGAACAAGATCCCACAACTATTGTGGGAAATCAGCCTCTATAAATATGGCTCCCAATCAGAGACAACCAGCAACAGCTGACACTCGTTGCCTCTGATTGGGAACCACTCTGGCCAACACAGAAATACAACACATAGAATATACACACCCTGGCTCAACATATAGAGTCCCCAGAGCCAGGGTGTGACAATTGATCGATTGACTATGACTTTTCAGATCACCCAGTAATGCTATCTGCAAGGTTAGCTCCAGCTAAATATTGCAATCCTTTAGCCATTCCTGGACCTGTGTCCAAAAACAAGCTACAAATGGACAGTACCAAAACAAATGATCTAATGATTCTGTCTCTTCGCAGCAAAATCTGCAGAGCTGGGAAGATTGTATCCCCCATATAAATAACATTCCATTGGTAGCAAGAATTTTATATAATAATTTAAATTGAAAGATTCTAAGTTTTGAATCCGGTGTCGTTTTGCGTATCAGTTCATAAACACTATGCCATGGGATCGGTACGTTAAAAATCTCTTCCCAACTATTTTGCAATCTATATGGGACGGCTGTCAATCCTTTGGTCCTTAAATGAAACTGATATACTTTTTTATTTATCACAGTTTTCCTTATCCAATTATGTTCTTTAATGCAAGGCCGACAAACAAGTTCCTTACTTTCTCACCCTTCCACTTTCCTCTTCCATTTTTGCGGTAAGGCTGCAATTATTTGGTTGTAATTTTGGGTAGAGCAGACATTATCATATGTTTTGGTTAGCTGCATGTGCGACATAACTCCACCAGTCCTACCGATGATATCATTTACGAAGATTATACCTTTTTTTAAACATTTTGTCAAAAAAAAAAGTTTTTTTGTCAATTAGTATATTTGAGTTTAACCACAATATTTGTTGCATTATTTGTTTTGTCGTTTCTGGAGGATTAAATTGAAATTGCAACCAACTTTCTATGGCTTGTTTTAGAAATAGTGATATTTGGGAGATGATTTCCTTTTCAAATAACTGAAAGTGAGAGGTTGTAATCTGAATAAAGGGAAAAAGGCCATTCTTGAACATTGGGTGAGACAATCTTACTAATTTGCTAGAGAACCAGTTCGGATTTAAGTATAACTTTTGTATGACTGTCAACACCATCATGTTGTTAATTAAGGTCCTGTTGCTCCTAAAATGCCCAATGATAAACATGCATTGCCAAAGCCCTCTCCCCAACATGTGTTATTCATTGAGTATATTATAGGGCTGTATGACTATTGTATCTCAGCCTTGAATAAGAGCTCTCAGTGGAGAGTGGATAGACCATATGTACGGGACAGCTGGCTGATAATAATGCTCGACACGTTAGTGTTGGTGTTGGTCTGTTGTCACATCTGGGGGAGTGCTTAACATCCAGGTCACAAACAAATCATCTCCCTTGCTGTCTCTTCTACTGATCCCCTCTGTTTGACACTGCTAGCTTACACACACAAAAATACACACTCACACACATTTGTCCTTACTACTTCTTCTTTCCTTGTTTTTTCTTATTTTTCAGTATGGCTACCGACTCCCCCAAATTGATGAGGAAGAAGTGATTTATTGCAGTGTATACTTCAAACTGGTCGGAGAAAGGCTGTTCACGTATCCTTTTAAGCCTGTGGTATGGATTGGGGACCATCTGAGGCATCTGCCTTTGGCCCACCTGTTGACTGTTATGTTGTTACACTGACTCAAAACTGTCACGTTTATGTCTACTCATGCAACTATTATTGCGATAGGCCACAGTTATTGTTTTCTTGTAATGTGTAACTGCTTGTAACCCGCATTTGTCCCTTGATAGGCTGTAAAATGAAACAGTAATTGAAATCGGGAGAGAAAATAACAAAACAAACACAGTGTAAAATGGTTCACATATGGTGTTCTTCAAGTCAGTGTCCACTGTTTAAATTCATTCAAATTTTGCAAACATTTCAAGTAATCTTAAAGGGGCAATTACATTGTTACAAATAATGGAGTAAAACAAGCTTATATTTTGGCTTCTGATAGGGTACAACAGTTTAACTAAGCTTGTGAGGCATTTATAAGTTATATTCTTCAATGGCTATACATCATTAATTTAGAAGTAAAACAAATGGATGTACCAATCCCAGATGACTCATTTAAAGTGAGTTCAATCCAGACAGTGAAGTTGTTCCATTTCTTTAAAGGCCCAGTGCAGTCAAAAACGAGATTTTCCTGTGTTTTATATATACTTCCACACTATGAGGTTGGAATAATACTGTGAAATTGTGAAAATGTTGATAATGCACTTTTAGTGTAAGAGCTGTTTGAAAAGGCTGCATGAAATTTCAGCCTGTTTAGGTGGGATGGAGTTTTGGCCTGCCTGGTGACATCACCAGTCAACGGTTAATAGACCAATAGACCAATAGGAAAGAGAGTTCCAAACCTCTCTGCCAATAACAGCTCATTTTTAGTTTTCCCACCCTACTCAGACTACTCCCAGACAGTCCTAGCAAAAATCTTGCTTGAGAAACTGCTATTTTCTAAGAAGCAGTTTTTGTTTATTTTTGACCATTTTAATTGAAAGCATTCACAGTACGGTACTTAATTGTTACCCAGAAATGATTTGATACTGAGATAAAAACAGATGCATTGGACCTTTACCTAGTGTGCTAAGATACCCTCTGAGCTGTATCCGGACTGAGCCGGTGCAGCGCTGTCCCAGGGTGGACCTCCAGGGAGCGCTCAGCTCCTTCCTATCCCACCTTAGGGAGAGCCTGCAGGCTGTCTGTGGCTTCCCAGCCCGCATGACCAGCAAGCCCTGCTACCACACCACCAGCCTGCTCAGCATTGCCTCAGCACAGGTACAGGGTTCACACTAGTGGTGCACGGGTCAGCTGTTCACCCGCACATGCCCACAATTGCTAATAATCCACAACCGCCCGACTATATGTGATAAAGTGAAAATCTGAGGCCCGCACCCAACCCTAACCCGCAAATATAGAAAATGCTCTATAGGCTACAGTCAAAGATGGCGGAAAGATTTTTTGACAGGGGGTGCAGGACATTTTGGTAGGCTATTTGTTAGTCAACTTGTCTATAATTAGATCCATGCAGCTTCTCTTCTTTCATTATATGTTGCCCTAGAAGACTAAATAAACCCTTGCTCACCAGAATAATGTCATAAATCGATAGAATGAATGCTTCAATCTAGTTGACATCGGTAAAGTTTTCTCTGTCGTCTTCTTTCATGGAGCAAAGACCTTTAGGGACCGGGAGAAAATGCAGTAACTCCCCCCCAAAATTTCAGCAATTTGATCTGTTGTAAGGAAATAGAAAGCTGTGAAAACAACCCAACATGTTTCTGATAAGATTTCAGTTCGGCTTGGATGCATATTTTATGTGGTTGAAATACTATCAGCTTTTATGATGCTGATAAATATAGCACCTCTACAGATGGTATCTAACTGAGCATTAGCATTCTCTCAAGATACTGAAAGAAAGAAATCATATTTCTCCACTCCTGTTCCCGAGTCAAAATGTTGCCTACATTTGGTGTAGGTTTTCATTTTAATGCAAGAAATGATTAATTTCGTAAGAGTTAATATGAAGACTATGTGATAACTGATGATCAATCGGCCCCATCCCAGTCGTTTGACCATGCTTACTACAAGTTTAGATAGCTGGCCGCTAGACTAACTTACCACTCTAAAAATGTTTAGCTGATATGGGCTAATTGAGTGTCTGCTGATGCACAACCAAATTTAGAAATTGCACCGTGTATTCTATTATTTTAACTCTCAACAGTAAGTTGAGACCCTGACAAAAGGGGGCCGCCAGTTGCCCATCCCTGCTATAGATATAAATTGCACAAGAATGATACATTTATGAATTTTTTAAGGTATTGTTTTCTCTTTATTCAACCCGCCCTTTATCCACACAATATTTAATTACCCTAAACCCGCCTGGCCTGCGGTATCCGTGGGTTATGAGTCAACCCACGCACAGACACATGCATAGGTACAGGACTCCAGACTGTCATTGGTACAACGTATGTCATTTTCCACACATAGACGCACATACTGGTACTATATTGTGACTTGATGCATCTCATATTTCGCTTGTATTTCAAATTACACATGCAAGATTTCTAACTTTTAGAAGTTTTACAAAAGAGACACTGTTCGTGATAAAGATTTTACTTTAATAATAGGTTGATATTTCCCACTTTAGTTTTATCTGTAGAATATATCATCACAAAATAAGATTTCTCAAGATCCAAATTAATGTTTGACAGTTTTCTCATCCCATCCTGTCAGAAAGGACCTGTGGTGATAAATGTCTGGGTCCTCCCAATAGGATGTGAGAAATGAGCAGAAAGAGATTAGTACAATCTGGGTGAATAATACAAGGCAGAGAAAATCCTTGAATTTCCAAGTTGAAACAATGGCGAAGCATTCTACTAGCAGCTAGGTCATAACCTCCTCCCTGAGTCATATTCATTAGCACACACCGTAGCAAAACGTTTTGCAATGGAAAACAGCCATGAAAACGAACGATTCATATTGGACAACTTCAGGTTAGTCCCTCCCTGTTTCAATCCGTTTTGCGTCTGTTTGGTTCCTAGTGAATACGACCCTGGTTTGTTATGGCCCACAGATGGTGGTGGTGGAAGCTCTCGCTGTCAAAGTGAATAGAGTTTTATTTGTGCTGGACCTGGAACACGACTCTGTTATTAAAGTTTGACAAATGATGTGGGTGCTTGTTGAAACACCCTACCCACTGGCCACAGACGTCAATTCAACATCTATTCCATGTTGATTCAATGTAATTTCATTGAAAAACGTGGAAACAATGTTGATTCAACCAGTGTGTGCCAAGTGGGCATTTACAGTGTTTAATTAAGAAGTTAATGAAGAAGTAGGACTTGAACTCACGGTAATCATCCGTTTTACAATAGTAATAACTGGGTACCTTGATTTTAGGTAATGTGATATATGGTTTTTAGGTATTATGGAGTCATTCATTTCTATGGAGTCATTCATTTCATACATTTATAGTATACAAAGCTGGTGCAACTCTGGGCATTACATCATATTTTTTCAAAATGCCCTGCTACAGCAAGGTACATCATTAATGTGACAAACATGGCGCCAAATGCCAAGTTAATTAGCAATCATTTAACAATACAACATGTAATGACGGTGCAGTTACATCCACTTTGAAGCAAATGTTTTTTACTAAGCTGCAGTACAGTTTAACTTTTTAATGCCCAGAACTGTATATGTTTCCATGTTCCAACATCACTGCACTGTGTATTCCTTTGTGGTCACAGGTGGCTAGTGGCAAACCAGTGAACTTGACGACCAAGTCAGCTAGCAGGCCCGTGCTGAGCCAACTCCATGCTCCCTGCCCCATCAAGCCCTCATTTGGGGGGGCACCAGGCGCCCAGTCTCTCAGCCAGCCAGTGGGACAGAGTAGCAGCAGTAGCTATCTCAGCACTGGAAGAACCCAGGGGGTCCATCCCACTCCCCCTCAGAGTTATACCCCAGGGAGAGGCTTGCCCTCCTCCTCTCTCTATCCCAGTGCTGCCCCTCCCCAACCTACCACACACCCTCAACCCAGCCAGGCACTACCGACTGGACCCAAGATGGTACCCATCTTCAAGAACAAGGCCCTCCCGCGCCATGTCAATGTCACCCAGCTTCTGGCTGAGAAGCAGCAGAGGAGAGCCGAGGAGCAACGGCAGACACCTGTGTCGGGACAGAAGAGGCCCTGCCCAGCCTTCTCCTCCTCCTTTTCCTTCTGGTCTGTTCCCCCCTCTTTGTTTTCCTCGTCTACCTCTTCCAATTGGACACAGGAAGCCCACCGGCCTCACTTTACCCCCCGTCCGCGGCCTGAAGGGGTTTCCCCACATTCCTCCCAGGTGCACGCCAGTGAGAGCGCTTTCAGGGTGAGGGACGAGATCGCCGTGGGTCCCCCTCATCCTCTTCCATCTGGCCCGCTAGGCAACAGAGGGGTGAGTCACCACCAAACACGCCGCTAGATGTAATTATCACGTTTCAGGAGAAGACCCAGATGCAGACAGTGCCGAAGTAACAAAAGTTTATTACAAAAACGGGGCAGGCAAACAACAGGTCAAGGGCAGAGGTCAGTAATCCAGAACAGAGTCCAAAAGGTACAGAACGGCAGGCAGTCTCAGGGTCAGGGCAGGCAGAGCTCAATAATCCAGGGTGGTGTGACAAGGTACAGAACGGCAGGCAGGCTCAGGTCAGGTCAGACAGAATGGTCAAAACCAGAAAAATAGAAAACAGGAACTTGAAAAAGACAGGCGCAAGGGGAAAACTGCTGGTAGGCTTGACGAAACAAAACGAACTGGCAACAGACAAACAGAGAAAAACTGTTTCACATAGAAACACTGTATTTTCGGCAGTTTTTTTTAAATAATGTTTATTAATTTTGAAATAATTAAAAATATGAATAACATTCCACCCATGAGGCCACTAGGTTATTTGAATGCAGGAAATGGCTATGATGTGATTTCAATCTTAGGAATTGAGATTAGCTCGCCTAATTTAACTTTAAGGGCATATCTCCCATTGACATCAGTGCTTGATTGTTTGCGTGAAGTCAATACTTTTCTCAGGTGAGGATTTGTCCCTTTACTGTATGTTTGAAAGACTAGACAGTAGTCAAATATGTTTTATGTGTGTATTTGCAGAGAATTTGAATATTATTTTTTTTATATATATAAAGATACATTGTATTGTAATTAAAGTAATGGGTTCTCACCTCTCAGGGGGACTGGTTTGAGTCAAAACCAAAGAAGCCAAAGTCTGCAGTGCAGGATGTGGACGTGGAGAAACACGCGAGAAGTAACCAGGTATGTCCTTTACTATACTTTTACCTTTACCATAGCTTTGATTTAAAGTGAAAATGATGTATTTTGCAAATGTTCTGCATGTTGAGAGAGGTGATAAATTCGACAAATGGTTTGAGGGAGGCAAAACATCCCACCAAAGCAGGTTGATTAGGGGACGATACTTCAGGGTAAGTGTTTAGCAAGATCCATAAACCAAATAGATTTTCCCACTACACCCCTAATTTAATTCCATTACAAGCTTTTACTAAATGAGATCCATCTAGTGTCTTGTTCCCGAGCCAGATACTATTTTTTACAGATACTATTTTAACGAAAGTTATGACTCGGTTGATCATTTTTACGAGGGAGCCGGGGAAAGTTTGTTAGAATGATTGCTGCCATTTTGACTGATTCGTTTTCGGACTGGGACACACATGGGCACTGAATGGACATAGTGACCTGACCTAATATACTTTAGGGAGGGCCAGATGTAATCTATAGGGATGTTACTCTTTGAAATTACTTACAGTGTCTGCATAGTTAATTATTTCAACTGCAGTTATTTATCTTTTGTAGCTGCATTGGTTTTGGTTTTATTTGAATAAATGACACAGGTAAGGTAAACTATGGAAGTCCGAGTTGATTTGAGCTTTTAGTTCATTTATACGTTTCTCTGTAAACAAACACCCAATGGAGCCAGGAAATTTGCCAACATCTACACACAATCAACATAAAGTACATTTTCCTGTACAATAAAGAATGAACAAAACTAAGGAGCTCAACACATAATGTTTGGAGGATTCACATAAGAAATGATGTTTGATGTGCTCCCCCCTCAGAAGGTGAAAGTTTCTAACTACTGTGTCTGATGACATCACTCTCAAACTGCGAATTGTAAACTAAGCTGAAGGATTTTCAAAAAATACAAATTTCCTTATCGGTCCAATTTGAGAGCTATAATTCAGAAACTAAAGTAAGCAAAGTCAAATCAAATCAAATCAAATTTTATTGGTCACATGCGCCGAATACAACAGGTGCAGACATTACAGTGAAACGCTTACTTACAGCCCTTAACCAACAGTGCATTTATTTTTAACAAAAAAAGTAAAAATAAAACAACAACAAAAAAAGTGTTGAGAAAAAAAAGAGCGGAAGTAAAATAAAGTAACAGTAGGTAGGCTATATATACAGGGGGGTACCGTTGCAGAGTCATGTGCGGGGGCACCGGCTAGTTGAGGTAGTTGAGGTAATATGTACATGTGGGTAGAGTTAAAGTGACTATGCATAAATAATTAACAGAGTAGCAGCAGCGTAAAAAGGATGGGGTGGGGGGGCAGTGCAAATAGTCCGGGTAGCCATGATTAGCTGTTCAGGAGTCTTATGGCTTGGGGGTAGAAGCTGTTGAGAAGTCTTTTGGACCTAGACTTGGCACTCCGGTACCACTTGCCAGGCGGTAGCAGAGAGAACAGTCTATGACTAGGGTGGCTGGAGTCTTTGACAATTTTGAGGGCCTTCCTCTGACACCGCCTGGTATAGAGGTCCTGGATGGCAGGAAGCTTGGCCCCAGTGATGTACTGGGCCGTACGCACTACCCTCTGTAGTGCCTGGCGGTCGGAGGCCAAGCAGTTGCCATACCAGGCGGTGATGCAACCAGTCAGGATGCTCTCGATGGTGCAGCAGTATAATTTTTTGAGGATCTGAGGACACATGCCAAATCTTTTCAGTCTCCTGAGGGGGAATAGGCTTTGTCGTGCCCTCTTCACGACTGTCTTGGTGTGTTTGGACCATGATAGTTCGTTGGTGATGTGGACACCAAGGAACTTGAAGCTCTCAACCTGTTCCACTACAGCCCCGTCGATGAGAATTGGGGCGTGCTCAGTCCTCTTTTTTTTCCTGTAGTCCACAATCATCTCCTTTGTCTTGGTCACGTTGAGGGAGAGGTTGTTGTCCTGGCACCACACGGCCAAGTCTCTGACCTCCTCCCTATAGGCTGTCTCATCGTTGTCGGTGATCGTTGTAAGCGTCAGAAAGATGACATTATACAAAGATTACAGTATACCTGTGAGGAAATGCTCTACCACCTCAGATTCTTTCTCGACCTACAGTAGGATAAGTAGGAAGTAAGAAGGGCTTTATGAAATACATTTGATTGATTGATTGATTGGCTTTATGATTGAACTTGTCTTGTTTGCTATTTATTCAGCTGTCGAAGATCAATGTAGCGACCCTGCAGGCCTGGCTGAAGAGCCGCAGAGTGGTGGTACGGTCCAAGGACAAGAAAGAGGAGCTGGTGTCAAAGGTCATGCGTTGCCTGAGTGAATCTTGAGTAGTGAGTGTCACCTTCCAGACAGACACAGAGAGGGTCATTTCACAATCTGCAACATCACAGAGAATGAGCTGGTTTTAAGGGTCATTGATAGTGAGCTTTGTATTGCTATCAGGTCTCTGTGTTATCATTCTTGAATTATATGTACTGTACTTGTATGGTGTTCTTGTTATGGAGTTAGTTTGAGGTAAGAACTGATAATTTTATGTAATATATTTATTGAATGTATTTGTTTAACATTAAAACAGTATTATATCTCTTATTTATATAGTTTTGTTTTATATATTAGTGATTTTTATTAATCCGCATTCATCTTGCTTTTCTTGTTCAAGATGTCATTTTCTGTAGTATGTCTGAGCTTTATTTCAGAAAATATAAAAGCAAATGTCTGTTAGTGGGGTTTTCATTTTCAGAGTAGTGCTTATTCATTATTCAGATCCTTTGAAATTGTGCATACACATTATTGCCATAATAAAACAAAGATGTTGTTTTTAATATTAAATAGAAAGGATTCCCCATTTAAAATGAATATGCCCCCCTTGCGCTTTCTGCTTTCTGCAGAGTGAATGTTCTATTCCCAGACCTGGGTTCCAATACTATTCGAAAATCTTCAAAAACTTTTTTTGGGGGGGAGCATTTGCTTTAACCTACATGGAGTGCCAGGTGGGGGGGGTTTGCACTTTTGGGACTTTTCTATTAGTTCCACTGCAACAGGCAAGCTCAATCAAGCACAGATTAATTGTTTGAAATTATTTGAAATAGAATTTGAACCCAGGTCTACCTCTGACTGCATTGATTGAAGTGTGCTATGTTTACTGAGCCAGCCAGTCAATTTACAAATTCTCTTCAATGCCTCTCTCACTAACCAGGTTTCCATCCATCTTTTTATGCAAGTAAAGTACATGTCGGATAAAAAAATTAACGACAAGCCTGATGAAAACAGCAAATTTGTCGGTAAACTTTCCAAATCTCGACTAACCAAAATACGCTAGGCAAGGTGGGATATTTTTTGTGTCAGTATAATTAATTATGCGAGAAATGGCGGTGGAAACGCCTTTATGCACAAGTATTGATATAATAACCATCATATCAAAGTGAATTTGGAGTTATGCAATGATATGTTGTGTAGGCTACAGATTATATAAATTATGATGAACTTCACAGGGTGGTGAAAGTGCACTGTGATGAGCTTGATACTCCTTTCCAATAAATATCGAGGGTCTTATTCTGGTGACATGATGATTGATGCTTGGCTGCCGTTTGACAAATAAAAATAATCTCGCTCTTTTGTCCTGTGGTATCTAAAAATATGTTGCTAATTATGCTGTGAGAACAAGGAGTCCGCTTACACTGTACTTTGATTATAAAGGTTTATTATTTCAAAGGATTTCAGCGTAAATTTACAGACATCTGCAGGCATCTGGAGAACAACGGACCCAAAATAATATGTTGTTCTCTCCTCCTTTGTTTTAACCGTGGTATTTATATCCTATGCCCTATGTAACATAATATGGGTGTTTTCCCATAAACCAATCCCAGGAGGCCACCTAACAGACTTCCTCTAACACACCATTTGCAAACATCAACAAAGTCATAAACTGTTTAAACACTACATATTTCCCCCCTTCGAGACTCGAAAATAAAAAATAGGATTATGACAAATAACAATTTCTCTTATTGAATAACTTTAACAATAAACCAAAAAACACATTTTTCTATGGAGTGTAAATAAATGTCTATGAAATATGAACAAATCTTTATGGAGTGTGAGAGCGAAAAACCGATCTGGCAGCTTTCTTTCCAAATATCCATCAATCAATCAAGACAGTAAAATTCTCTCACGGCCCCTCTGCCCCAGGCAACCACCTAAGTACTCCAGATCAATTCATAAATCTTTATCAATGCATTTTAAACTATGATGCAATTTGAATACACATGAAAGCCTCAGCAAACAAAATACAATAAAAAATGTCCACATTCAGGCTGGTCGACCCATCGGACCCTCCTGTGGATTCTCTCTATCCCTGCCTAGACCCAATATCCCTAAGCATCCACGAAATAAACAAAAACATCTGAGATCCCCACATGTACCCAATAACAGCAAATATCATTCTTTATTAATTATGTATTACACATGCAAATATGTCTATATATCATTGCAGACACTGGAATGTAGTCCACTACACTTCATCTCCTCAGCAGTGTCGACTTCCAATGCAACGTCGATGATGGAATCTGAACATTTCCACACCTTCCTTGTTCTCACAGCATAATTAGCAACATATTTTTAGATACCACAGTCCATAATAATTTCATCATGTAGGCTATACCCGCACTGTATGTGCGAGCACGTGCCAAGACCAGAGTGGGCACATTCGCTATATAACTCAACATTTATTTTGACAAAACCTTCAGTAGAGTTGAAAATGTGATGCAAACCCATTTAACTTGTATTTTATATTTGGCACATGGTAATTTAACCGAAAAAGTTACGTCATCGCGCACAGCCTTTTAACCACAACAAGTCAATTTGATGGAATCACATCTCTGGTGGGAAAATGCGCATATTGTTTTTATGCAGATTTTAGAATTTTCGCATGCTAGTTGGATGGTACCCTAGCTAGAGACAGAATTTTAGAGTAATGGCTACTGCGACAACACAAAAGTGTTGTGTAAATAAGTATGATGGAAAGCGCAGCGATGGTTGTTGGAGCCAGCTGTAGCGATGATACCCTAAGTCTGGATCGACTGCAGAAGAAGAAAAAACATTTGAGTGAAATGCAAATGTTAGGGACTTTGATCGCAAGCATCAGAAGCCAAACTGCATGTCTTTCAAAGAGGAGACTTAAAGCTCTTTCTTTATGGTTTATTCAGGCTAAAGCTTAATGATCCGTACAAATCTGACATCGAGAGCTGTGCATATAGTTCGGGTTCATGACAGGGCAAGATTCAACTTTTCTTTCAAGGTTTCTTAAAGCCATTATTTTGGAGGGGTGGTATTTCATATTTCATTTTTAATGTGAAACAGACCCTGTGAATTTTTCCTCTTCCGTTTCTTGGTTTTAAGGGCAACTGTTAGTCATTAGAGTTAATGGCTCCAAGCATCATGGTCCTTTTATGGATGCATGTGCTCTTTGTGACAGTAATGTGATATTACATTGATAATTAGTCATTACCTAATTTCACTCCCTCCTCCACCTTCTCTTCCTCTGTATCCGCTGCTAAAGGCACTTTCTATCACTCTTAATTTCAAGCTTCTGCCTATAACCCTAGGAAACTATTTTTCCACCTTCTCCTTCCTCTTTAATCCTCCTCCCCCTCCCTTCTCCTTCTCCCTCTCTGTGGAAGACTTTGTCAACGACTTTGAAAAGAAGGTTGACTACATCCGCTCCTAATTTACTCAGCCTATTGAGTCCACTGGTCCCACTCACACATATACTACCAGTCAAGGTGAAGCTGGTTGAGAGAATGCCAAGAGTGTGCAAAGCTGTCATCAAGGCAAAGGGTGGCTACTTTGAAGAATATCAAATCTAAAATATATTTTGATTTGTTTAACACTTTTATGGTTACTACATGGTTCCATATGTGTTATTTCATAGTTTTGATGTCTTCACTATTATTCTACAATGTAGGAAATAGTACAAATAAAGAAAAATCCTTGAATGAGTAGGTGTGTCCAAACTTTTAACTGGTACTGTAACTACCCTACGTCTTGACATCTTTCTCCCCTCTCTCTCTAAATGAAATCCCGACAACCTGTCCCCTCGATCCCATCCCCTCCTCCCTTCTGCAGACCACCTCTGGAGACCTTCTCCCATTCCCCACTTCCCTCATCAACTCATCCCTGACCACATCCCTGGCACTAGTTGCTCCCCTCCTCAACAAACCAACTCTCGACCCCTCTGACGTAAAAAACTACAGATCCCTTCTTTCTTTTCTTTCCAAAACACTTGAGCATGCTGTCACTGACCAACCCTGTGGGAGAAAATGCAGGTGTGCCAAGCTTGTAGCGTTATACCCAAGAAGACTCGAGACTGTAATCGCTGTCAAAGGTGCTTCAACAAAGTGCTGAGTAAAGGGTCTTAATACTTATGTAAATAAGGTATTTCTGTTTTTGTTTTTTTATACATTTGCAAAAGTTTCTAAAAACCAGTTATTGCTTTGTCATTACAGGGTATTGTGTGTAGATTGATGAGGGGGGGAAAACTATTTAATCCATTTCAGAATAAGGCTGTAACGTAACAAAATGTGGAAAAAGTCAAGGGGTCTGAATAGTTTTTGAATGCACTGTATGGTTGTCCCACCTAGCTATCTTAAGATAAATGCACTAACTGTAAGTCGCTCTGGATAAGAGCGTCTGATAATGACCAAAATGTAACATTTCATTACTCGTAGTACAGTAGTTGTGTTTCACTCGTTTTACAGAGAGACATCACCTATGCCATAGTCTAACATACCTTTTGTTGATTATGGGTTTCATATTTCATTTACAATGCCTACGGGTACTATCAATTACCATGGGGTGTGATTGCTTGGCAATAATGTGTTTGTGTCTCTTGCTACGGAGAGAAATGGAGGCCAAAATCACATCAAGGCTGTTGGTCTTAATCTCTTGTCAGTGTGGAGACAGACTGACAGACAGACAGTCAGGGAGGTGTAGAGACAGACAGATGCAGACAGTCAGTCGGAGAGGTGTAGAGACAGACAGGTGCAGACAGACAGACGGACAGACAGTCGGAGAGTTAGAGACATACAGACAGAGAGGTGTAGAGATAGAGACAGAAAGAGAGGTGTACAGACAGGTGTGCAGCGTAGCTGGAGGAGGCCGAGGTTGAGTTTCTGAGTAACACCCTATTTTTGATTGCTGTCGCTCCAGGGTTCGAGCGCACATTCCGCTGGCTGAGGTGTGCCGTGTCTCGCACCGGTGTGTGTGGTTTATCCACAGGCTACTGCATGACAATGCTCTGTTTACCTGATCTACATAACCTTCATACTGT